GCATTCCTGGCTCAGACTCAGGGTCCACAGAGATGGGCGCTGCTGGCTCAGACTCAGGGTCTGCACACATGGGCACCTCTGGCTTGGACTCAGGGTCTGTACACATGGGTGCCTGCGGCTTGGACTCAGGGTCTGAACTTACAGATGTTACCTGCTTGTCTGAAATTATTATGCCTTTGGATTTTTGGAAAAACCATGGCGATTTCTGTCCTGGCAAAAGATATGATGCCATTCCTCTGTAAAAGAGAGCTCTGTGTGGTCCCAGAGGCAGCAACTCTTCTAATTTTTTCTCACCTCGATGCAAGCGAAGAACTTTAGATATGTGGTATGATACAGCTAAGATAACGTTACCTTTTTTGTCAAAGTTCTCTCTCACAGAAGTGTAGGAAGATAAGCACCTGTACCGGAAGCTTTCGAACATGCCCTCTGGGATGATGTCATTACCAAGCAGGCAGGCGAGGAGAGGGAGGTCCGCCAGGCTGAGACCCAGACTCTCACAGAGTCTCTCTCTGCAGAGCATGACAGTTTCCAGGCTCTCCAAGCAGAGCTCACTGATTGAAAAGTAAGGGCAAGTGTCATAAATTAGGTAGTCAGTGTCTTCCCCCAGAATCCCAAGGCAGCCATGCTGGAGGCCGTAAGAAGCTACTTCGTAGTCTGCCTCCTGCAAGGAGCACACAGTCTCCTGACCCAGGGCCTTCAGAGCGAACCGGGTGAATATGGCCAGGCCTGAGGGGATGAAGAACATGTTTCTGCCTGGCTGTTCCTTGTGCGACTTGATGTAACGGAACACCCTGGAGATCTCCTTGTTGTTCTTGAGTCTGCGTCTCACCCACTCGTCTCGCTTACCCTGCTCCACCATGCCATCAAAGAAGAATATCAGCTTGATCCCAACAGCCGCAAACGCTCTCACAAAATCTCGCAAAGCGGAAAAGTATTCCCGCCACTGGCCGCCACAGATCCAGGACTCCGGCGTGTACCAGTACCTGAGACAGCACATGGCGTCGACCACGATGGTGGGGGTATGTCCCAGGTGCCTGCTGCGGTGATGCTCCGCCAGCGCCCTGAGGTTCACCACCGTGTACACGTGTGGGCAGGAGCTCCCCACAAACCCCTGCAAGCCTCTCACACCCATAACGAAGACGGAGGGTCTGCAAAGAAAAGGATGTGCAATCAGTGACTACGGCATCACCACTGGACACACAGCACCTCGCGCAGCAAATACATGGCAGCAGTTACAAGTCACCACCTTACTTCCAACAGCTCCTGCCAATGAGCTTGACCCACTGGCATTTCAAATAAGCCTAAGGCATTTTCAGCTAAAGTAAGTGAGAGACTTTACCTAAAGAGTGTGCTGGTTATCCGAGACGGACAGACTTCCACAAAGCCAACACAGTGCAAGCAATCCGCTAAGATTCTCACTAAGACTATTACCCATGACATATCTGTCTAAGAATTATTTTACTTATTTATTTATTTTAATTTGACCAGAGAAGGACAGAATGAGAAAGAGAGAGGGAGGGTAAGTAAGAAAACAAGCCGCCAGGTCTGAGACTTGAACCGTGGTTAACTATATGGGAGTCCAGTGCCCTTAACCACCATGCCACCTGCCAGCCCCTATCCAATATATTTTAAAAAGGAACGCAAAAATAAATGCACAGCAAAAATAAATGCACAGTTTTCAAAGAAGTAGTTATTTTCCATCCAGAAACTCAAATAAGACAATATTTTTAGAAACCTAAAACACAGGGAACCAGCAGTTAGCATAATGGCTATGTCGCTGGACTCCCACGTAGTCAACCGTGGTTCGTGACCCAGACCTGGTGGCTTAAAACTCACGCCGGGTGCGTGTGCGTGTGTGCCCAAGATCCTGAGAGGAGAATGGAGGAGAAGGGATTGCGGTGTGACCATCCCCTCTGGGGGGTGATTTCTCGCTTTCTGTCTCTCTGTCTGTCTGGTGAGCGCACGCGCCCTATAGCAAAAACCTCTCCAAAAAAAAAAAAAAAAAGGAAACCTAAAACACAAACTGAGACACAACATAAATGATCCTCAAAATAATTTTGCTCCAAGAAGCCAGACAAAAAAAGAATGCCTATGATACGGCTCAATTTATATAAAATTCTAGTTCAATGAGCTACTTAATCTGTAGGGACAGAACGCAGATCAGTGGCTGTCTGGGATGGGACAGATGGGAGGAAGGGGTTCTGGGGGACACTTTGGGGAGTGACAGGCGCACTGCCTGTGGTAATGTCCTGTGGGTATACACACACATTAAAACTGACCTAACTATGCACTGTAACTATGTATCAAGCACACCTCAACATGTTAAATAAACCATAAAAAGGTACCAGTAGATGGCATAATTGTTATGTTGCAAGACTACCACGTAGCTGACCACAGTTCAAATCCAGGACCTGGCGACTTAAAACTCAAACCAGGCACATATGCATGTGTGCCCAAGATCCCAAGAAGAGAAGGGATTGGGGTGTGGCCATTCCCCTGGGGGGTGATTTCTCATTTTCTATCCCTTTGTCTCTCTGGCGAGCATGTGTGCCGTATACAAAGAGAAAAACCATAGAAAAAATCACTATGCCAAAAGTTGTAACATTTGAGATAATGACTGGCTGACTGACTAAAAAATTCCTCATTCTAAATTTTATTTTAGGATTTGCCAAAATGTGCTTGCTAGAGAGAGAGAGAGAGAGAGAAATCCCCCCCAGTGGGATGGCCACACCACAATCCCTTGTCTTCTATTATCCTTTCAGAATTTTGGGCACATATGCACATACATGCCTGGTGTGGTTTTCAAGCCACTGGGTCGAGACTTGAACCATGGTCGGTCATTTGGCAGTACAGAGCCTTAACCCCTATGTCACCTGCTGGCCCTGCCTGTTCTAAAATTTAAATACAGATGCTAAGTAGTTCAAGAGTAAGCATGCAGACTTTGGGAAAATATAAGCAGAGTACTTTAAACAGAAATAAGATGCCCTCACATAAAAGACACACCTGGATGTTCTTCAAGGAGGCAATGCCATCCAGCAATGGTCAAAAAAAGGTCACAATGACATCTTTTATCTTCAGGGTCTTTTTTTTTTTCTCACTAGAATTTTCTTTAAAGTCACCAGGGCTTCATATCCTTTGGTAAATACAACAGCAAGTCCTGAGCATACGAATAGCAGCACAAGACGAACATGGCCTCCCTAGACACGGGGCTGGCATGGCACGTGGTGACTAGCACTACAACGGTGCAGCTCTGAGGAAGCGGACCTCACCAGTGAGCAGACAGCTGGGAGCTCCCAGCGCAGGCCTTCATCCGTGAAATGGCCTAGACAGGTAAAAATTATAAGCTCTAATTCCAAGTGAGGACATTATAAATAAAGTACCAGGTAGGGGAAAGTCACCCTCGCAGGACTATCTTTTAAGAATCTGCTGACCAGGGCCAGTAGTTGGTGTAATGGCTATGTTGCTGGACTCCCATGTAGTAGACCGTGGTTCGCATCCCAGACCTGGTGGCTTAAACTCACGCTGGGGGTGTGTGCACACACACCCAAGATCCTGAGAGGAGAATAGAGGAGAAGGGATTGCGGTGTGGCCATCCCCCCTGGGGTGATTTTCCGCTTTCTGTCTCTCTGTCTCTCTCTGTCTTTCTGGCAACCACACACATCCCAAAGCAAAAATCTCTACCCAAAAAGAGGAATTTGCTGAGGGCCAGCAGGTGATGTGGTGGTTAAGATGCTGGACTCCCACATGGTCGACTGCAGTTCAAGTCCAGGCCCAGTGGCTTGAAAATCATGCCAGGGCATGTGTGTGTACAAAATCCCAAAAGGAGACTGAAGAGACTGTGGCATGGCCATACCTCCTGAGGGTGATTTCTCACTTTCCCTCTCTGTCTCCAGCAACTGCACTTGCACTATGGTAAGAACCTAAAAAGACTTTAAAAAAAAAAAAGTTACAGATTGTAGGGCTGGAGTGTGGCAGAGCAAGGCTGACAAACGGGAGGTCCCAGGTTCATGTCCAGGGACCTGCCTGGGCGGGCTGACGTGGGGAGGGTCATGGTATGAGATCCTGTAGGGGTGCTCTCTTTATCACTCATGAGAGAAGTGTGGGGCCAGCATGTGGCGTGGCAGTTCTGGCCCTGCACTCTGACATGGCTGGCTGTAGTTCGAGCCCCACTTGACAATCATGCCTGACCCATGAGCGTGTGTACTCAAAATCCCGAGAGGAAAAAAGGAGCAGGGACTGCATGTGGTCACCCTTCATGGGGTGACTTTCATTTTCCCTCTTTACAGCAAGTATACATGCCCTATGGCAAAACCAACCAACCAACTACCAAACAAACAAAACTTACTGATAATAAGTAAACTCTGGCCTGGTCCCTAATGGTACTAGAATATGAAGTTATTTGTTTAATATAGATTGTCGGGAAAGTCATGACATATTTTTCTGTTTTCCTATGCAAAAATGCTTCATCACTTTCCCAACACCCGATATGTATTAATAATGAAAACCAAAAACAGCACACAGTGTATGTCAGTTTATGTCAAAGATTAGAGAAATCTTACTCATTAAGTTATTAATGAAATATACATGCAGGGTACAAAAAGTTCATGGAGATACATAATCTAAAAAAAAAAAAACTATGTATGTATTTCAAAAATATGTTTGTACCAGGATAAACTCACACTTTAATACTTTCCCATAGACTTTCTGAAGTACCACATACCTTAATGGCTATTACTGGTGTAGAGTTTTCCTTGGGGATACAGGGATAACTCAGATATCTGAGGCGTTTTTCTTTTTTAAAGAATTATTTATTTAATTTCATTTGTTATTATTTTTTAATTTGAACAGACAAAGAGAGGGAGAAAGAAAGAGAAAGCGAGAAAGGAAGCCATCAGTTCCGGGACTCAAACTGCAGTCAGCCATGTGGGAATCCAGCACCCTTAACTACCACGCCACCTGCTGGCCCTGGTATCTGAGGTTTTGAAGTAGAAAGAGGAGAAGGGATTGCGGTGTGGCCATCCCCCCTGGGGTGATTTTCCGCTTTCTGTCTCTCTGTCTCTCTCTGTCTTTCTGGCAACCACACACATCCCAAAGCAAAAATCTCTACCCAAAAAGAGGAATTTGCTGAGGGCCAGCAGGTGATGTGGTGGTTAAGATGCTGGACTCCCACATGGTCGACTGCAGTTCAAGTCCAGGCCCAGTGGCTTGAAAATCATGCCAGGGCATGTGTGTGTACAAAATCCCAAAAGGAGACTGAAGAGACTGTGGCATGGCCATACCTCCTGAGGGTGATTTCTCACTTTCCCTCTCTGTCTCCAGCAACTGCACTTGCACTATGGTAAGAACCTAAAAAGACTTTAAAAAAAAAAAAGTTACAGATTGTAGGGCTGGAGTGTGGCAGAGCAAGGCTGACAAACGGGAGGTCCCAGGTTCATGTCCAGGGACCTGCCTGGGCGGGCTGACGTGGGGAGGGTCATGGTATGAGATCCTGTAGGGGTGCTCTCTTTATCACTCATGAGAGAAGTGTGGGGCCAGCATGTGGCGTGGCAGTTCTGGCCCTGCACTCTGACATGGCTGGCTGTAGTTCGAGCCCCACTTGACAATCATGCCTGACCCATGAGCGTGTGTACTCAAAATCCCGAGAGGAAAAAAGGAGCAGGGACTGCATGTGGTCACCCTTCATGGGGTGACTTTCATTTTCCCTCTTTACAGCAAGTATACATGCCCTATGGCAAAACCAACCAACCAACTACCAAACAAACAAAACTTACTGATAATAAGTAAACTCTGGCCTGGTCCCTAATGGTACTAGAATATGAAGTTATTTGTTTAATATAGATTGTCGGGAAAGTCATGACATATTTTTCTGTTTTCCTATGCAAAAATGCTTCATCACTTTCCCAACACCCGATATGTATTAATAATGAAAACCAAAAACAGCACACAGTGTATGTCAGTTTATGTCAAAGATTAGAGAAATCTTACTCATTAAGTTATTAATGAAATATACATGCAGGGTACAAAAAGTTCATGGAGATACATAATCTAAAAAAAAAAAAACTATGTATGTATTTCAAAAATATGTTTGTACCAGGATAAACTCACACTTTAATACTTTCCCATAGACTTTCTGAAGTACCACATACCT